ATATCACCGACTGTAGCTCCACATTGTATAACGCCTCGGTAAGACACAAACACATAGGAAATATAATAATGAAAAAAAAAGGTCCCAAAAAAAAATTTAAAAAAGAAAAAACATCCCGAAACAACAACGGGAAAAACTAAGAAAACTGTCCACGCAGGGAAACCTTCAGGGAAAGGTAACAGCAGCCCTGAACTCCAGGAACACCCCGGGGCCTGTAGACAGCCGTGACCCCTGCAAGGGAGCGGGAGTCAAACAACCTGAGAGCAACGCTCCTCCCTCCACCACAGCTAGGATGAACGGGTCACCTTGCTAAAGAAAGTAAGTTGCTTGCAGGGAACCGGATCCGGTAAAAATGCTGGAAACAAAGAAATTGCAGGCTGAAATCCGAACGGAGAATGTCAGGTATCCAGACCCTTGCGGGTGGCCACCCTATCCAGCCGTGAGGAAGCCTGTGCCGGTTGGTCAAAGAAGTGGGTCTCACCGCCCGCCACCACACGTAGCTTTGCCGGGTATATCATGGAATATGCGAGGTGCATCTGTTGCAGACGTCTCTTCACATCTTGAAACTTGGCCCTACGCAGTTGCACCTCACGGGAGAAATCCGGGAACAGCATGACCTTTGCGCCGTCCAGCGAGAGTTCCCCTAACTCCCTCGTTTTCCGAAGGATTCGCTCCTTGTCCCTAAAATTGAGGAGCCGGATCAGTAATGGACGAGGAGGGTTCCCTGGGGGGAGGGGACGAGACGGGACCCTGTGTGCCCTCTCGACAGCGAACAGCGAAGACAGATAGTCCTTCCCAAATACCTCAGAGAGCCAGTTTTCGATAAAATCAGTCGCATTTGCACCTTCAGCGCGTTCAGGGATGCCGACAGCCTGTATATTGTTCCGACGCAGTCGGTTCTCAATGTCATCAGCCTTTGTGGAGTTTGCATTTATCTTCTGCAGAGCCTGTTTGACATCTGCAGTTAACGGAGCAGTGGAATCTTCCAAGTCGCTCACCCTGCCCTCCAGGGCCGAAGTGCATTCCCGCACCTTTTGCACATCATGACGTATAAATGAAATATCCGCTCTCATCCCCTGCACCTGATCAGTGAGGGCAGACAGTGCGGTGTTAGACAATTGAACTGCGGCATAAACATCTGCAAGGGTGGGCTCAGCCGCCTTAAGCTTTGTCTTGGGGGGCTTCAGTCCCTTAGTGGCTTTGGACGCCATGCTGTCAGGCAACACAGGGTCAGCATAGCCATCTGAGTCAGACAGAAGGGGGTCACCCATGGACTCTCTTGAGGAGCCACGTTCCCCCTGATAGGAGAGCTTCCGCTGTTTGGGGGTGTCAGGGTGATGGACAAAGCGTTCTAGACGTGCCGCAGGGTCCTTCTGCTTATCCCCTGCCCCTTTGCTCGGGGTCCGGATCGCGGCCTGCAGCCCGCCGACATCTTGGGACACCAGGCCTCCCTGCTTACCCTCCTTCTTCTTTGACATCTGCGCCGGACAAAGCGCCCGCTCACCCCCGCGATTCTGTGCCACAAGGACCGGAGGATCACCCCCTGCAAGCCGGCTGAGGACAGGAGACCAGCAAGGTGAGTATCAGAATGAGATACAGGATTTTTGTGGAGAGCTCGTTCCGGTGCGACTGTCTACATGCTGCTGCTGGCCACGCCCTTAACTCTCCCCCTTTAAACAATTAAAAGGGTCCAACCAATGTAGTAATGGCCGCGTTGGGTGAGAGGAAGGAGAACTCACGGCAGAAGATCCTCGCTGACTGGAGACTGGGCATCCTTAACCCCCTTTTTTATATGCTCTGCTGACCCTTCCAGTAAGTTCCGATGAGGGGCGAGGGACCTGAAGAAAGGTGCCCATCTTTTCCTATTCATTCTCCCTTCTGCTATAAACAACTATGAGCTTATTACTGTTTTCCCCAGACTCTGCTGAATAAATTAATTTCTCTGCTCAGTGGATGACAAGCCATTAAATGTGACTCCCCTAGCCATTGCTCTGTACCACTCGCCACGTATCACTCTCCTCTGTGCCTGCATCATAATCCCCGCTGTGCCTGCTGTGTACCCGCTGTAGTTCTCCATCTCTCTGTGCCTTCTAATACCCCCAGCTTCATCCCTGAGCTCTCTGAAACCTCCAATATTCACTGCCCTCCATGCCTATACCAGCCAGTCTACTTTCCTTCCCCCAACATCGGTCAATGACAGCGGGTGCACAAAGGGGAGGATCGGGTGCTTCAGACAAGCGAACAGGAGCTTGGTAAATTTCTCTTTCCATTCATTAGTGCCAGACTGCAGAGGAGAAAAGATTGAGGACTCTGCATAAAAATAAAATAATATAAAAAATAAAACACAAAGATGGGAAAAAAAACTATTTAAAAAAATGCACTATTAACATCAGCTGGGACCTGGTATGGTGCATATAATGTGCATGCTGGTGCACATTGCGATCATGTGCTGCAGTGCGTTGTTAAAATGCTCGGAAGTGCTTGAATATTTTTTTGTTTTTGAACTTTTAAAGAGACATTCATCACAATGTGCTGTGACGTGTTCCTATGCATCATTTTATAACAACACACACCAACACAGCACATGCATTGTGGATTGCGCATTATCACAATGCATAGCTGGGAGGCCAACCTCAAGATTTTTACTTAAAGTTGCTTATTTAAGTTTTGTGTACCTTCCATTTTCACAGATATGCACAAAGGCACAGTTTAAGATGTTTACATATTTGTTATTTTTAACCCAAGACACTTTTTTTCTTTTAGCTTTTGACAGAATTATTTTATTTTCATCAACATTTGGGCAACTATTACAGGACCTACAACACCAGTAGTATGTAGCTTCATCTAAATTTGTATTGGTGTATAATGTATTGCTGGGATTTGTAGCCCTCTATAGCCGGTCTCCTTACTCCCTCCCTGGCTGTCTCTCCTTGCTCTCTCTCCTGGCTGCCTCTCCTCAATCTCCCCTATAGTCCCC